GAATTTACTGCGATGCAAAGGGGGGCGCCACCTAAAATCTTGCCTAGGGCACCAAATTGGTTAGGCAAAAATGTCTTATGTCTGGGAAATGTCTGGGAAATGTCTTAACAATTATCCGAGGCATTGTCATGAAATTTTGAAATGTTAAATGTGTGATGCACATGAAAGTGTTGCCTCAGATACTTTAACAGTACGATGGCTTGGTTGCATAATGCCCTTAAACTTCTCACAGGAACCATACCATGCATTTTCTTAGACTGCAGCTACGCTTTAGGCTCCAACAGAATGCACGGAAATTCACATAACAAACCACTGGAAATATACAAAAGTACCGTAGTAGGTTATATAGGTAGAAGGTTGTGATATATTTGGATGCGGACAGATATCGAGAAGATTACAGACTGGATCTTTGACATTAATTTGATCATACATGATTTGATATAACATGATATGATATACAGATCTGGATGTATTTCCATAAACTTGGATACCATTGGATCTTTCCGGATACACGTCCGCAGTGTGAGATGTTGAACAAGCTGCTTTTGTTTCGGCTATTGTAAATGTTATTAGTAACACCTGTGCTCTTCCTACTTTGACAAATTAAATATCTGCTGTGAAAAAGGCCTGTTATAAACCCTTCCATCACTGCTATTACACATGTACTGTCACTGCTCATGAGGCGTGATGGGAGAAGTATGCAGTCCATGTTTAATGAGTAGCAATATATCATCCTCTGAGGTTCAGAGGTTGAGTGATGAAATATTAAATGTTTTCATCTTTCTGACCACAGACATTTTCGTGCTAAGAGTCTTCATGAGCATTTTCCTTCAAGCCCAAATCATTCATACATTTTTAGCACTTTTTTCAACCATATTACCATTAAATCATGTGTCCTATACAGAGTGAGCAGAGTTCATTTGGACATTTGCTATCTGTCCCCGAGGTTCAAACTGTGAGGTATAAAGTTGACTATAAATAATTGAGTTCACATATCAAAACAAGGTAATTAATGATCTGCTTAGTATATTATTAATCTCAACTAGACAACATCAGCAACTTTCATGTTTAAGCTTTGCATACATGCAGGCAGCCACATCAAAAGTACCAAGCACCAAAGCACAGATTGCCTGCAGGACAACAGATATTACCAGTTAAGTGACTTGAATAGACAAACATGAGCCACTGCCAAGATTCTATTCTGTCCAGTATGACAAATAACCATTACATACCAAATACATCTCAGAAAATACAAAATGCATCATTCCCCCAGTGTGTAAAGTACAGAGACTCAGCACAGCCTCCTACAGTAAGCTACTACTGCTCATTTGGTACTATATGAGATGAATGTACCATTTGGAACATCCTTACTTCACCAAAATGTGTGAGCATGTTTTATTATGTTATAACATACAATAAAGTAAAAACAGGAACACAATAACACTTTTCCTCCTGTTATCATCTACAAATTGTCACTTTAGAGCTAGCTAGCTTGGAGGAGCTAAGCATCAAAGCATGCATTAAGTTTTGACTGTTGAAAGAAAAACTCATGTCATCATATTTATCCAAAAACCTCAGGCTCAGTAATTGCAGCAGGCTAAGTTTCATTGCGCATTGTGCTTAGCCTCTGGTTTTCATTGTAACATATTTAAATTGTGCATTTGAAGCCCTTTAAAATACAATCAAAAGATGGTGGCTGTTAAGGAAAGTGACGCTCTCAGTTAAAGCTATTTTAGTCCCTGCATTAAATTGCCTTACATCGCTGCTTTGAATTATTTTTAACAAAGGGCAAATAGTGAGCAACACACATTTCATTCCTACTTTAAGATAGCTGGACTTTAAAGAAAACAGAGCTATCAGCAGCCCGCACATTTCTCAACACTATTTCTTTAATAAAGTTCAGGTTATGATGGCTTTCATTGCACAGAGCTTTATTTATTTAAAATGGTCAGCATGTGTAAATGTGACCGCTGGTATATTGACCTGAGTGGAATAAATACTGAAGTGCTTATATAAATGGGCACAAGTGTTGTTGTGTGTCTAGATGACAACAGACACCGCATCTAAGACACTTCATGATGACCCCATCCAAAATATATTTGTTGCCCTTCTAGTATGAAAAATTCCACGAGGCTCTTCAGTGCATAGGTGGAAATATGGTGTTGTAAAAACATGTCTGAAGGCAAAAGTGTTTTGAATGGCACACAGTGAATCCTTCAAAATTGGCCTAACAGCACATCTTTTTGGGCAGTCTTCCCTCAAAGGATTTCAAGGTGTGGCACTAATTTGTACACACAAAATGTGACAGAAGTAGTCACTTGAAGAATGAAAAAAGAGCTCGAGGAGACATTTGTGCTTGTCAGATTGTTCCTTTCGGAAAGTAACAAAAGAAGGCTCTAGCCTGTTTCTGTATTCTGATCATCTGAGATCTATTAATCTATTAAGAGTATTGTTTGTTTTGGACCTTGCTTTTTATTGTTTTGACTTTGGATTTTCTGCCTGCCTCCTTCGATTTATTTGCCTGTGTTGCACTGCATTCCTGGTTCCCCTTGCCTGCCTCACCATCCTGTAAGCTTTTTGTGCTGTACCTCCTTTTGTTATTAAAACCACTTGACTCCATCTGCTCTGCCTCAGTTGTCTGCATTTGTGTCCTGTCCCCTGTATTCCTGTTACCCTGCTTGCACTAACCATGTTGTGTCAGGGCACTCTTTGGAGAAAATTTTTTGTGTGCACTGTATAATGTGTGCACTACAATGCATGAACAAAATCATATGTATTAAGTGAATCAAGTATAAAAACCAAGTAAGTTTACACATATAAGGAATTTGATTCCAGTTTTCAGGGGCTTTCTGTGTACCTACACACAGTGGCAGAAGTAATAAAGAGAAAGACAACAGATATAAGAGGCAGCAGGTGAAGTAAACACAGTTGGTATTAAAAACAGAGAGATTGAGCAAAGAATAAACAGATAGACAAACACACATAGTGGCAGTATAGAGGTGTGTGTGTATGTGTATATATAAATATGTATATACACACAGTATGTATACACACCTACATATGTATAGCGAAATTAAAGCTAAACAGACCATTTTCAATACAGGCTTCATTTCTGTCTGCAGTAAACACACCAGTTAAATCTAAAATATGTAGAAATATATGTAATATATGTAATGTATTAAATATATGTATATGGCTGTTTTGCTCTTGCTTTCACTATCAGAGTGAGATCCTTTTGTCTTTGGGAGAACAAAGAACACTCTGTCAGTGAGAATCCTGTTTGGAAAGAGAATAATTTGCATTTTTTTCATTTTTGGTGCATAAAATTACAAACAGTTGTTAAGAGAAAAATGCAGTTCATGTTCTTGATAATGTGTAAAGTCAAATTGGTTTTTTACTATTTCAAATATTCTTTACGTATGTTCTTTAGCTTCCCAAGCTGGGCATGATACAGGAAAAAAAGTAAGATTAGGGATAGATCAATAAGTTTCACACAATGAAGCGGCTTTAGCCATTTCTCAATAAGACACACACTACATGTAAATACAGTGACAGAAACTGGATTTCATTTTGCAGGTGATTAAATGTAATATACAAATAACTTTACGATAATTGCTCAGGAATTGCAGGGTTGCCAACAGGGTTGCAGAGTCTAGATTGCTGTGTTGTATGATGACCCTTTCAACAGCAGATCTGTAATGCACAATCAGCATATCTATAATTACAGTCAGAAAAGTAAATCAATGTATATAAAGGTAGACTTAAAGGACACACACACACACACACACACACACACACACACCCTCCCCGTGGCCCCCATCCAAATGTCTTGTGACGTAAGAGTCGCCTTTAAAAGATGCTGGATGGAGGAGCAGAGCGCACTTTACGCAACACTGTTCGTCCAGCGGGAGTGAGCGCGGATTACAATTGATCTTAAAGGTGATGACTTGGAGATGACAGACTTTCCCTTAAAAAAAATATTGAAAAAACAGTTAGGTAAAGGTTGAGTTGTGTACACTGTGATGAATAATGCCAGCTTTCCCATAATATTAAGGCGTCAAAAGAAGCTGGAGCTGAAGACGGAGATAAGGATGCGTTGAGATAACAGGTGGCACTTTACGGTTACAGTTTATTTTTTAAGCCTTTGTGTCAGATTTCCAGGAACGGGTTAGCGGCTACATGCTCTCAAAAATACTGCAGGAATGTGCGCTTTCAAAACATAAAGCGCACTTTTGTCCCAAAGGAGGAAAAACAACAGCATGGAGAAAGACTCAAACAGAAAACCCCTATTCATAAACTTTCCAGGTAAGCAAAGTGATCAGCCCTAACTACCAAAAACGGTTTGAGAGTGAAGACAAGGTCAGATGAATGGACAGCAGGATGTTTTCTGGTCAGGCTGGTCTGAATTACAGCTTCAACCTGAGCGATGACCGGGAGCTGGTGGACGCGCCGGCGGGCAGGGGGAAGCTCTCCCCGACGGGCTTCGTCGTGCTGTCCGTGGTGCTGGGCTTCATCATGACTTTTGGCTTCCTGAACAACTTCGTCGTGCTGCTTCTGTTTTGCAAATTCAAAAAGCTGCGAACGCCAGTGAACATGATGCTGCTGAACATCAGTGTCAGTGACATGCTGGTGTGTTTGTTCGGCACCACTCTCAGTTTCGCTTCCAGTATTCGGGGGAAGTGGCTGCTGGGGCGCAGCGGCTGCAGCTGGTATGGCTTCATCAATTCCTGCTTTGGTAAGTTTTCTTTATTTCCAGATGTTGAGCAAAAATCACTGTTTCAACTCATAGGTGTGAGAAAGTAACTGTGGTGTATGTCCGAGAGTATCATTACTACCCTACGAAAATGTTTTATATACATTATTATTATATACAGGCTACTTTAGGAATTATATACAATTTATTTATAACATATTATATATGATTTATAAATATTTTAGAACCTATACCTATACCCGATCAATAAAGGCAGCTTTTGATGTGTGAGCTGAGTTTAGTAGCCAAAATCAAGCCATGTTATTTGTATAACGATAGCATTTCTATATCGTATTGGAGTTTATTTTCTAGAAACTCCATTTATTAGAACTATAAGTAAAATGAACGCAGTGCAGTTTTTTTTGCAGCATTACCCACAATGGATCTAACCCGAGATATCAAAGGGATCTGTGGCTGTTTACTGCGTGCTGCACTACATCAGTGAATGTGAGGACTGATGGATAGTTAATGTTGTTTTCAGTTTGCCAGTCCCTCTTTACAACATCTGTTTAATGACTTTACTGAGGTGATTTCACACACCATAAAGTTGTAACTGCTTATTTGCGGAAAACAATGTGATTTCTGATAGTTGATTCTGTGCTGGAGGGGTACAATAGCTATAGAGGACGGAGCAGCATTCAAACTGGTACATTAAAGATGATTTATGAATAGGTGACAGCTGAGCTGGACACAAAACACACATGCACAAAAACAACCAACCCTCTTGATATGGATCCCTTTGATCATTTTGTTTTTGTTTTGTGACATTTTAAGTCTAAAAATCAACTTGTCAGCGCTCTCTAGTGGATACATTATGTAATTGTGACACTGTTTGTGTACTGGAATTTCTTGTTACCTAGCGGTCAACATATATCAACCGTTGGTATATCTGCAATATCAGCCTGAACGATTTATCGGTATAGCTCTACTTTGTACTCCAACCTTTTTCCAGCCAAATGCAAAATCCTCCACTGAGCAGGGATTGCAGTCTGATTTTTATCTGTTTATGACCTTTCACAGGCTCCTTTTCAAAACAACATGATGTGGTTTGCTTTACTGCACTAGCTGAACGTTTTGGCCAAAAGTCATATATCTCGTATGAATGAACCCTTATGCAAGGAGGTTTCAAACATGGGAGCCAAGGTCCACGTTTTCATATTTTATGTTGTCACACAAAGAATAATTGCTGCCTTTATGCAGTCAAGTCGGACTTTCAGTGTTGCTATATGTTGTTCAATCCATTCACCTGGTGAATAAGTAATTATATGCATTGACCTTTACGCCTATACATCTTATATCTTTTGACCTCTGGACATATAAGAAAAGAAGAGGTAACTCAATAGTGTTAATCTTATCTCCGTAGACCACTACTCAATAAATGTTTAAAATGAGCTTATTATCTTTTTCTTGTCAACAAATCCGAGAGAAACGATCTTAACAAGTATTGCCTGTGAGGCCAAATTCTGATGTAGCTCATTCTGCTGTGCCAATAACTCCACTGCTCTCCAAAAATAGTTGAATAATGTTATAAAGGCACTTCATTTTGTTTGAGCTGCTGTGATGAATTGAGCCACTGAAGGTAAACACATACTGGGGATTTATTCTGGGCTTCCTGTACAGACTCAGATACTGTACGCACTTATTTACAGTGCAGGACACTCAGCTTAACTCCACTCCTACAGATATTACATTAAACACTGTAGATTGTTCTCATTTTTAGCTTGCGTTGATGTCTTAATGTTGGTCTCTTTACAGCCAATCTTGAGTCATCCATTTTACATACAGATTGTGGTTGAAGGAATGCTAACATTATCTGCATCCCTTCCATCCTTGTTCATTTAATTTTCCCTTTTCTCTCGTTTTTATTATCAGTTCCCTTGTTACCTTCTGTCTTCACAAACAGTTTTTCCACCCTCTCCATCAATACACCAATACGGGTACCATTTTAACCCCTACTGTTTTTACATCCTAAGACATTATATTTTTTGTAATATATATATAAATATATATATATATGTTTTGCTTCTGTTTACTCATCTCCTGTGCTTTGTTATGCTTCACTGATAAAAAAAAAAGGGATTTTTATTTAGACGAATTTCCATTTTATTGAAAAAAAAAGCTATATATTTCATACTGTGTTTTTCAAATAAGCGGGTGTTTATTTTCACTTTATTCCCCTCTGGGCTCCTGTACTGTGCCATACTGAATGCTGGAGATAGTGCTCATCTCATTGAGCACTGCTGTCCAGTGATTCAGTCACTTACGAGACACCAGTCGCCATATAATAATATAATGCTTGTTTCATAACACTGCAAACAGCCATATTAATGACTGACTTGGATTTTTCATATCTATAAATTCCCGTGTGAATCTGCCTTGTCTGTAATTTGCAAAAGTAAATATTCCACCACTGATAATATTAGTCCTGCGTAAATCTGCATCCCTGTGATTCTGTGCGTTTTTGGTCAGATCAATAATAGATTGGTTGTTTGTGTCTTAATTGGTTGTTTGGGTTTGCTTGGCCATGTCCATGTTTGGGTTTTTCATCAGAAGGTGATTTGGTTGGTGTTCAGAAGAACGTCTGACCACGAATGTATCAATCATGTTGCTGCAGATAAACTAGTCCTGCATAGCCAGATCTCCACACATTGTTTTTAGCGCTGTACGAGCACTGGAGAAAGATTTTATTTCTTTAAACCAGTCACAATCGTCCTGCTTGAAAACGGAGCCAAAACCAATCTCAGCCAAACTCGCAGTATGTCACCCACATAAGATTTTAAGAAAGCAGCTCTTAAGCCATGAGAAATTCTTCAGACTGTGCAATGTGTCAACATGTTTTCTCTTCCAATTAAAGGGTTGATGAAAACTTTCAATCTTGATATTTTTCAAAGATTATTATATCGATCATTAACATCCAGTCAGTCAACCCTACTCCATGATTAATTCTGGCTGTCAATGGGGATGATTATCACTATCATTGTCGGTTTTCCCCCACTAAATGAAAATGTCCCCCATGATCCTGTATTTTCTATGTTGTACCAAGAAAAGAGGCCTATACTGTATGTGTAGCATTCAAGCAACCCAAACACTCCCAGGATCCTTTCTCAAACTAATCAAGTAGACCGAAGCTGTGGCTTTTATTCCCTTCCAGTATGCCACAGTATGTTAGGTGTCCTTCACTCCTAAAACCAAACATTCAAACCACCAGTGCATTCGGATAGTATTGTGTTTTTGCCAAGCATATCAGATCTGAAATGAAAGAAGCATTATCTGATCTGCCGCTCCTATGCTTAAAGGATAAGTCTGACATTTTTCTTATTGTCAACAAATCCCGGGAAAAGACCATAACCAACAATGCTGAAGTATATCTCTCAATGCTTTTTGATTCCCCTACTCTAAGGAGCTGTAGCACTCAGCCTCAAGCCCTTTGATGCATACTGAAAATATAAAGACAGGTAGCAAATACATAGCTTTATTTTATTAATAATTTATGAGCAATTTCCTGAAGCAGCCTTAGGAAACAAGAATTAGGCCTAATCAGAGGAATAAACTTGACAGCTCGTACAAGCAATTCCGTACATAGGTTACGTGTTTATCTTGCAGTTGCTTGCACCTCCAAAAAAGCTTTTTGCTTTTTTTTTAAAGAATAAGGCCCAATTCCAATGTCTGTACAAACTCACAGACACGCAATGTAATGACCCACAGGGTGAACCCAAATGCAAGACAGACTCAGCTCTTTGAAATGATCAAGAAAAAGATTTATTGTCTGGATTCCTGGGGATGAAGGTGGATGAGGGCGAAAGTTCATATGGCAGAGGGGAGAAAGGGGAACTGGTGGCTGATGAAGTGTGGCAGAGCATGGGAAGTGGCTGCGTGGCTGATCAGCAGGCAGGCAGATAGTCATCTACTGAGGCTGAAATAATAATCTGGCGATGAGGGGATAAAGAACTAGGGTTGATATGCTGCAGGGTTGAGTAGTAGATGAATTGCAGGTGTGGGGCTTTAAGCAGGTGTGCAGGTTGAGCAGAAAATCAGGAAGCTGGGAAAGTGAGAGTGGGCGCCATACCCACACCCACAACACAGACACCACACACACACGCACACACGGCCTTAAATTTTGTCTTTGACACACAGGTGAGGGTTCAGGCTTAGGCCGCTTTCACATCATATGAGATGGATGGTAGATATGGGATGCCCATGTTAACAAGTGTTTACGTCATCAAGACAGTTGTTGAGTTAATTGTGTGAAAATTATAATACACATGCGCATTGGAAATAAAACAACAACAAATTAATTAAGATGAACAATTGTCTTTGGCCGATGTTAAGCGTCCATATTTATTTGGTTTTCATGCAGTTTTCTACTTGTGCCAAACTGGATATATCTGAGCTTTTAGAAACGTTTTTTAATTAACTTCGGACTTGTTTTAATAACTCAGTAAACAGCTTCCTAATCATTTCATGGTCTCAATTGCTACTTGCAAGTCTGCAACAGCATGATGTTCTTTAGCAAATTATGGCCCAGTTTGGAGTAAAATACACAATAAAGAAGGATATGCTTAAGGGCGTGGCTACCTCCTGATTGACAAATTGCTACCACGGTGACCTCAATCAGGATTCAGGATAGAAGCACATCCATAGCAGTTCCACGCTCTCGTCCAAATATGGTTACTTTTGGTTCCACAAAATCAAGATGGCGACCCCATTAAGGCTTTAAAACACTAGTCCAAAATGGGTAGCATCATGGTGGCTCAACCACTACTTTATATAGAGTCTATAGCAGGAACAAGAGAGGAATGCCAGATATACATAAAAGTTCTTTACAATGGGTTAGTCTCCATGTCTGATCATTTGTACACACACCTTTATTACATGAGTGCAAACCACAAAAAACAATAGATAGAGAGCTGTCCTTTCCTGAACTGATCTCACTACACTCCTTATGGATTTTATGTTTTCTATGTTTACACTGTGCGGTAAAG